AGACTCTTCTTCTTTTCGATACATAGTTAAATGTACTGAGAATGATTAGCCTAGCTGGAACTATATACGTCTTATTCTAACACGTGGAATGTGATATGCATCTTTGCAAACAGTAATAATATAATATATATATGCGAAAACATACAAGAGAGAGTGAAAAGGCTTGCTCCCGGCCTATACATTTGCGGGCAGAGCATTTTACGTCTGCCAAATATGAATAAACTTACAACAAAATAACAAAAACAAAATAAAAACAAATAATCTGTCTGCATAGACAAGACTAACAGAGCTCTTACAAGATTAACAAAGAAAATTTTGAACTAAATAAAAGGTGAAATACTAAATAAATTTCCTATGATGCAATAATGTTTTTGTCTCGATTATCTGTCAAATTTGTCCATATAATACTTCAGATGGTTGGCTACACTGCACATCGAATTCAAGTAGAAACTACCCAATTTGACAGTTATTCAAGACATCAGCTGCGCTAAATGGACTACCTATTCATTGTGCCAAGGAAATTCCATACCACTATCCGACATATACATAACATTTCCAACCCTGGCCTGTCAAAACGAACAAGTTCCACAATCAGCTGTTTTTATACCACCACTTGGTAGGTGGAACATCAATTAAAATAAATATTGACAGAAATAATTCGTTTAAAAATTCACAACCCGTATGCTCGGAGTCTATATTACATCCGCCACCGCAAGGTATTTAACATATTCGGATTGGGCTAAGGTACCTAGCGTACACAGCCAGCGTTACAGTCGACTCTGCCTAACTGAAACACGTTGGCTAACTGTGTCATTTTTTATGTCTCATTGCATCTATACTGCCTAACTTGTCTGTCAGATTTCTTTCCAAAATCTAGTAGGAATACCATGAACTATTACTTCTGACGAACGCATTAAAAACATCAATTATCTATTAAATATTACATATTATTCAAAACAATACACGCACATACACAAAATATGTATTTTGATTTGATGGAACAAGCCACCTTGAGAAAAGCAATTATAATCAGTTGATAGCTGCGCCCCTACCTTGTAATAATTATTTTTGGAACGTAGATAATAGTCTTATTCCAGATATCTCGCTTGTGAAATAATTTCGCTATTACATTCTCTCCTTATTCAGGATGAATGGGAGAAGCATGCGAGATACTAGACACTAATTCGATGAAAACATTCGTGTTGCCTCATTGTAATTTAATTTTGTAATATTCTTCAATATTTTATTATTATTAGTTTTTTTTTTAAATGTTTTATTGTTACTTCAATTTATAATAATTTTATTGTTATTAAATAATAATATGTAAAACCGCTGTAAAACTGCTTTGTAATTAAATGAAAATAAATAATGTTTGAAAATATGGCTACAACGGCATGTGAAACAGCAGCCAGATTACAAACAAAAGAACATTTTTTTATGATGACAAAGCCCGCATATGCGATGGAATTGAATCAAATCCCATTATATAACTATATAATTGTGTGCCTTTTTATTTTCTATTAATTGTCCATACTTTATCTCCCCAAATTCTTAAAGTGGCCAATTATTTTATGATATGCTCCTCCTCCTTCAAATCATGTACAAAGAAATTTTTTTCGCAGCTTTAATATTGTTCTTCCATAATTTTTATTTCAGTTTTTCACTTGATCTGACAAATTTGGCAATGTGATTTTTTTCCATAATTTTTATTATTTTTTCTGAAGAGACAGAGCCTTCACAAAATTTCTTTATTTCGCTTCCAAATTGTATCAAACTTGGCTTAAATCTTTTGCCTTTATACATTCCTTGGTAATTTTTGGTTGAGTATGCATCGTTCGTTATCAATTGAATTTGCAATGGTATGTTTTAGTTGTAGTTTTTGAGTTAAAAATATGCATTTAATCATCTATAACATTCTTATTCGTAATCGTCATAGAATAAGTATTGTTTAAATATTTTTCATAAAAATATTTATTACATATGCTTTTGTAGTCAGCCCCATTTGAACAAATGTCGGCACATTCATCCACTTCCTGTAATCCATGATGCAATAATAAGGTGATGTATCAAAACAAAAACCTTTGTTTTTGTCTCGATTATCTGTCAAATTTTTCCATATTGTGCCATGGCACAATGTGCCATAGGTAGTCCATTTAGCGCAGCTAATGTCTTGATTAAATGTCAAAGTGGGTAATTTCTACTTGAATTCGATGTGCAGTGTTGCCAACCATTTGAAATATTATATGGAACAATTTGACAGATAATCCAGACAAAAACAAAGGTTTTTGTTGGTATACATCACCTTATTATTGCATCATGCATTGTACCATGCTGTAATCCATCGAATTTCAATTTCCTATAAATTAGCTCAAAGGACCAAGTGCGATTCAAACAACAACAAAATACTACTCCAAAAGCTTAAAACTAACAATGTATTAGTTTGATAATATATTTCTTTTCCTCAAAGCGGATTAGGTAAAAGGTGCTTTGCTTTTTTGCCAATAGTCGGCACAAGTTTCAAATTGCCGGCATGTCGTAATACGTGGTACAATTATAAAAGGTAACAGCAAATCCCAGCTGATTTGATTCCGATGTGATACTAGTGTCAATATGAATTTGACAAATTATGTTTTTAAAAATCACCCAACAGGAAAATTGGGAACGCATACCATTTGTAATTGTTCTTTATTAAATGTGCTCCCGTATTCAATTTACTCAATCTGCCGGCTGGGAAAGTTTGAGGAAGCAAATCTTTCTTCAAGGAATAACTCGCTATTCCCAGCATTTTCATATGTGTTACACATATATATGGCAATGGCTCAATTAAAGGAAAGATGTGGAAGCGATAGAAATATAAATTTGAAAGATTTTCATCCATGTTTTTCAATTTTTATTTTGAGGATTCGAAAATATTTCAATTTCAAAATAAAAATAATTTGATGATAATTTGTTTGTTTGTTTACATTTTTCTGTCAAATGAGGTGACACTAGTAGAACTTACAACAACAAATTTCCATGTGGTTGTTGTATCGTTTTTTGTACAACAACACTTGCTGTTACCTTCTATTATTATACCATGGTCGTAATATTTATTACGACTATTTAGTTTATTTCTTTATTAAGCCAAAAAAGTAAATCTAATTGATTTATTTTATGGAAATATATAAATGTTGCTGTCGACTGTAGGAACCATGCCTAATATTGTGTAAATCCACTCAAAATTTATTTTTAATAAATTAATCGGCTTACTTATTTAACATTTTTCCCAATATTGAGCCAAAGTGATCATGCTATCCAAATTATGTTTTTAAAAATCACCCAAAAGAAAAATTGGAAACGCATACAATTCGAAATTGTTCTTGATTAACAGTACGTTTACATTTAACCGGATTTCGTTAACCCAGTGGGTTTCAATTGTCATTTCCTTTGCATATATGCCAAATAAATCCTCATAAAGTAGGTTAACCCGGTAAAAAGTTCTAATGTACAAGGAGTTTAAAAATGCTTCCGTATTCAATTTACTCAATCTGCCAGCAGGGAAAGTTTGAGGAATCAAATTTTTCTTCATTGAATAATTCGCACTTCCCAGCATTTTCATATGTGTTACATATATAAAACGGCATTTACATTAGAACTTTTTGCAGGGTTAACCTACTTTATGAGGATTTATTTGACAAATATAGATGACGAAACCCGGTTAAATGTAAACGTATTATAAGTGGCTATAGCGTAATTATTGGAAAGATTTGGAAGTGATAGAAATATAAATTTGATAGATTTTCATTCATATTTTTCAACTTGTATTTTGAGGATTCGCAAATATTTCATTTTCAAAATAAATATAATTTGTTTGTTTATATTTTTGACACTAGTATAACTTACAACAACATATTTCCATGTGGTTGTTGTATCGTTTGTTGTACAACAACACTTGCTGTTACCTTCTACAGTAGATATCAGATATAAGCACATCTCATAAAAGAACAAATCGGATATAAGAAAGATTGTCAAAAACACCAAGCCTTTTTGCTTCTTTTCAGTGTAAAAATTGTTCATATAAGAAAAACGCGAATAAGAAAAACACTGATATAAGAAATGTTTGTCAAACACCAAAATTGACAAAGGTATTTGAAAACTTTTCATATAAGAAAATATTTAAGATTGTTGGCCACACTGAATATATTTAAACATTGTTAGTCAAACTTCAGATACTGAATTTTTTCTTGCGAAACTATAATTTAATATCGTAACTTTGTATTTTTATGTACTGAATTGTTTTATTTAATAAATTATTGTTCTTTAAAATATGCAAATAAACAAAACAAAAACTCTTATATGAAACAATTTTCTTACATCTGATAATTACATATAAGAAAAAACGCATATAAGAAAGAAATCTCTGACTTCTTTTGAGTTTCTTATATCCGATATCTACTGTATTATTATACCATGAAAATGATACAAATATAGACGTTGGGTTTTGGCATCGTTAAATTTTGACCATCTATGGTCTTAGATAACATAGGTTAAATTTAGACCGGTATTTAGATTGTAGAGAAGTCTTAAAAAAAGATGTGCTGAGAGAGTCGAAATTGTCGAATGGAGGCAGAAGCTCTTTCCAAATGTTTCAAAAAAGGTGGATATATTCTTGGAGTTTCAATACCAGATTTATTGAACTTCCGGGCCTCGCACTGAATCTCACTAAATTTAGCCATTTTCAATTAAGTGGATTTAACTGTATAAATATGTCTTTCCACTGGAAACTACAAAAATGGAGTCAGTGACAAATAATGTCATTTACCACATCGTCACTGTGTCTTTACTATAACAAGTTGCAGAATAGAGGTACAGAATGGGTTAATTAAACTCCGTCGAGTATTAAGATATTTGCGTTAGCTGACGCCGTTTATTATATACTCCTAACGCCTCCGGTGTTTCAATTTTTTTATTGTTTATATTTCGGAATCGAAGGATTAAGGATAGAAAAATCTTGTTTTTACATGGCTAGAAGGGTTCAGGATATACCCATAAGACCAAGATACGGATTACCAGATGCTGCCGAAGACGATGCAATGAATACTGAAACCGTAAAAACTCGCAAAACATCAACATCCAATTCGGAGATGTCTTCATATAAGGAAATTCCATTCTTGGCCCAATATGCAGGACCTGTACCAGATAGTGTATTAAATGATTTGACACCAACCGCTACAAATCCAACACGGGATGACGAAAGTGTGGAGGATGAAGACGACGACGAGGAGAACTCGAAAAGTAGTTCCTATGACAATAGCAACAAGACACCAAAACGACCACAGAGCCTGCTAAGCGATGCAATACCTTATGAATTAGAGGGTAGCGAAAATTCAGATGGTCAGATGAGACATTTTGTTGCCGAAAATTTGGAGGAAAAGTTGCGTTTAGCTAGTCCACCACCGGGAGAAGGTAAGCTGGATTTTGTAATAATGTCTGGACATTAGATTGAATTATCAGTTTTTAATTTTTCAGAGTCACATCACAGCACTCCCTGTGCATCGATTAGTGGAAATGTTGGCGGCGGTGGTGGTGGCATGACAAAACAGTTTTTCCAAACTCCAATTATACCTCAAATCGATGCCAATGTATTAAATGATATTGAAATTGAGGCTCAATATTTGGCCGCCTCTGTGGATAACTTGACGGAAAATTTGTGCAATTTACTTCATTCAATATCCTCAATAACTGCTGATAATGTAGAAGTCCATAAGAATGCTGTGAATAAATTAACGGATAGCATGGATGCCAATATTAAGTGCATGTACACGATTATGGCAAAAACTGAGGAAATTTCTAAATCGATGCAGCCAACAGAACAGCTGGGAGGACGAATGTGAGTTTAGTTTTCATTTGTGTTTTTCAATTGGTTATTATGAATTTTTCTACTTCTTTGAATCACGTAAGATATTAAGTTTCCATAGTTCGGTGGGGAGCGCGAATAGTATTAGACTGAGTTTAAAATATACGCTTTTAATTTATATGGGATATGCATTCAAAACTAGTTGCAAACATGGTGATCTTTGGTTTTAATACATTGTAGCGTTTGTTGTAAACAATTGAGAACTCATCGAATGCCAATTTATTTCAGCTGATGCTAAGAGTTAAAGAATTTCTTCCACACTGTTCAGTCTAACACTGTTTAATCGGCAATGATAGTACACAGATAAGTTATTAAAGTTGATACTAAGAACAATTTTTTGATCTCAATAAGTATTCAACTAATGTTGAACGTAGTTTCTAGTTCTAAAAATTGTAAACATCAACATGAAAACAGCTATGCTACTTTTTCAAAGATCAATTTTAAATCATCTTTTATTTAAATTCATTTTATATATTCACACACATACTTAAAAACAATAAAATTTATAATGCTCGTCAAATGCATATTGAAATTGTATATTTATTTTATCTTTTCAGCCGGGAAATAAAGCGCCTTGTCGATATGTTGGACAACACCGTATAGAAGGAATCTACAGATCAATTTAATGATCACGATGATGACCCCTTTGTAGCTCCACTATGCCCACTAATTTAGTTGTAAATTTTTAGATTTAAATTGTGTATTTAAAAAAGTAATTATAATAAATGTATTATCGTTGCATTGATGATTGCAAGTCATAAATCTACTTATTATATAATTAAATGTACGTTTGTATTTATAAGGGTACAACAAAAATTATTATTAATAATTACAATAAAAATTCACGTTCACTACGGCACAGCTATATCTTCTCAACTTTTGCTTTTATTATACGAACACTATCTACCGGCCGGTCATTTTTATCAGTTTCAACCATACCAATACGTTTGACGACTTGCATTCCGGTATATACCCTACCGAATATGGCATGCTTTCCATCGAGCCACTGAGTTGGTGCCAGTGTAATGAAGAATTGTGAACCGTTTGTGTCGGGGCCCGAATTTGCCATTGAAAGTATACCGGCGCCGGTGTGTTTCAAATCTGGATGAATTTCATCGGCAAATTCTCCGCCATAAATTGAAGAACCACCACGACCGGTACCCGTAGGATCGCCACCCTGTATCATAAAATCACGAATGATACGATGGAATACTACGTTGTTGTAATATCCACGTCTTGATAATTCGGCAAAATTTCTGCATGTGTTTGGTGCATGCTTCCAATACAATTCAATGGTTATTTCACCCATTCTGTGAATGAAATTAGCCAATTTTTATTAATTTTCTTAAAGAATAATCATCGCTACTTACGTAGTTTCCAGAGTTACAAAGTTTGGCTGCCATGATTTATCAGGAATCCCTGATGTAGCGGCCAAAGAATTTCCAGTTGTGGCTAGCATTATTTATTATTTTCTGACGCACACAGCAAAAGTAAACACAAAACAAACGAATACAATTCACATGGAATTGATATCACACATTACCAAAAAACGTTCCAATTTCTAATTAGTCTATACGTTTCGTATAATGCACAACGTATTAGTTGTTTTATTATTAAATGACCTAAGTGTGTATTAATTAATGAATAAAATTTCATTATTTTTAACATAGAATTAATGAAATAAAATAGCCAATATAGATTAAATATAAAAAATAAATTTTTATAAAAATCAATTTTAGCCTCACAGTGTAAATTACCCGCCGGTATTATTTACAATTTAAGGGCTTAAAGTCATTCTTCGCATGGAATATCAGGTTAAATATTGCATCAGAAATTTGTTTACACTTTATACGTGAGTTTCCTTATTTCTATAGCCATTGTGAGAATTTAAGACCAAAGCTAAGTGCCCCTAAACCTGCTGAAATCGCAGAGAAATGTATGGAAATGAAATGCAACCCAGTAACTATTGTGTGTGTGTTTGAAGGCGGTCCTCAGGTCTTTAAGGCCGGAAGAATTGGCGATCCGTGAATACACGTGGCCAGGTTTTCTTCCAAAGGTTTATTATATAAAAACGATCGAGTACACAGTACTTTAATAATAGAAAAACTTGAAACAGAGCAATCAATGATTTTAAATGTATCAACTTAATCCGACTTATGACCTCCCGGTTGAGAGATATCCAAGTGCATATGATGTATGTAGTGACGAAAACTGCAAACCGCAGCCGAAGAATTTCCGGAACCAAAAACTGCTTCCAGGTCACACAAGGTTGATTCTCCAAGACTTCTAGGTTCTTTCGAGGCTGCTGAAGAGAGGTTTAAAAAATTAAAAAAGGGGGCAAAAAGAGGCAGTGAGAAAAAACGTCAAAAATCTTTGATTGATCTAAAAAAGGTTACAAACTTAAACTAATATCACAGGTTGGGATGGGATAGGTATCAGGATCACAACGGCGCATTGGCCGTTGTCGTTCTGCCATACTCAACCTTCGTTCTTATAAAACTCTTATACGCGTTCATAGCCAGTTTCAAGTGAAGGCCTCCTTTCACCATCGTCAAACATTTGAGTGAACTCGTTCTATCCTTTAGCTCTTCATTGATGTGTTCATAATAATCCCTTGCTGTTAGAATTTGTAATGATTCTTCCCAGGTATTTTCACTTTATCACCCGCTGTATCTTTTTACCCTCTATCGGGCATGTTCTGGCATTCACTTCAACGGCAGAAGTGTATCGAACACACGCCGAGGTGTTCTGTAACACACTTTACACCCATTTGAGTTGTACACTTTATACTTACTTTTTCATATTCTTCTATATAAAAGAATATTATTTTTTAAATAAAAAAATGCACATGATGATAGATTAACATGTTATTATTGTGTATAATTTTTTAAAATCACAAAATTAAGATGAAACTTCATAAAAAAAACAATTTTAAATAGATACTTAGGTTTGTGTTGCATTTATTCCGAATGAATCTCTCGCTTGACACAAACAGCTGATTTGCAATAAGATCGTACAAGATAGGGTTACCAAATGCTCCCCTAAAATCAATCAACAAATTAATGATATTAAATAGTCTTTCATACATATTGTTACGTTCTTGGGTTTTACTAAATCCCGTGTAGACGTTGTTTTATTTCCCGATACAATTCGTACCAAATAAAACGCAGGTTCTTTCGGATTACGATTATTACAATGATTTTATTCACACAACTTTACTTTGCACTTTACTTTACACGACGGTTTCAATTCTGATTCACAACTGACTCACTGCCTTTCCATTTCCCCTATTTATATGAGCCTTGCTTGTCGCTACAGAAGTTTCTAGACGATCTGGTAACACCTAGATCACGAACAATCTACCAATGCAACAAACACACATACAAACTTACATTGAGTAAACAATAACAACAACACATATACAGGCGAGGGAATAACAAAGAAAGAGGAATGACGTTTAACAAGAATTGTACGACAATAACAAAAATAGAAAATGAAAGAGGAAATGGAAGGATGTAGAAAAATCTATACAGTAGTTGTTGTTGTGAAGTTATTCAAATAAACTGCGTAGTAGAAATTTACGTTACAATTAAAATTCTTAAATTAACGGAATTCATCTAAATTAACTTAAATCTAAAGTTATATTCGTAACAATATATTTTATGTTGCGAATAATAAAATATTAATAAAGAATAAAAAATTATCGTTAGAATTTACGAAATTACTAAAATTAACAGATGGTCTGTTCCCGTACTGCAAGAATCTACTCGATTTTACTATTTTCTTCGATATCATAAAGGAAAATTCGTTATCGTAGTAAAAAGTAGTAGATTCTTGCAGTACGGGAACAGACCAAGAAACAAGGTTGAAAACGAATACGGTTTATATTGTATGGCAACACTATTTCTGCAAAGTACCAGTTCGAAAATTTCAATTCACGTGAGATACAGAACAGGAGGTAACTTCTGAGGTGAAGTGTATATGTGAAGTGAAACGAACACCCCGTGAGTTCCAGAACATACCCGTATATTTAGGGAAACCCGTTTGGTACTATTTTTTGGTGTTAGACTTTTCCGGATTGAAGATCAAGTTTAAATCCCTGCATCTTCTTTAGAAAGTCTGAGCTTTTTGTTGCAAGTGCAAACTTGCAGTATAAAAATCCTTGTCATACACCATGATAAAAATATCGTCCGCATACTGGAAGATCATCGTTCTTCCATCCTCTAACTTATTTAACTCTGCAGTATATATGTTGAAGAGCACAGGAGACAAGCAGCTACCTTGGGGAATGCCATTAGTCACCTCTATCATCTCACTACCCAATCGAAGCACCCTTAGATAGAAAGTTGACAATCCAGCTAACTATCTGTGGGTTCATCCTCTTATACCTTAAAACTCTTTCCAAAATATCAATTCTTACACAACTAATGTCCAGAGACAAAACCAAGACTTTATAGTTGTTAGCTTTTAGCAAAGCAACTCTATGCAAAAATTCATTGATGCAGGATGAAGTTGAGTCTTTTTCTGTAGGCAAAGGTCCTGTTGGGTAAGATGTTATTCCTGTTCAAGTGATCCACTAGACAGTCCTTTATTATCAGGTTAATGCATTTCATAAACACAGAAATCAGCGAGATGGGTCCGTAGTTCACAAGTTGCTGTAGATCTTTATTAGGTTTCGGGTTAGGCACAATAATCATTTTTCTTCATGATTCTTCGATTTCATTTTCCACAAAAGCTTATTATAAAGCTGTGAGCACAGCTCGCTTTGAAATTCCCGGGAGTGTCCTTATCATTACATACGTAATATTATCATGACCACAGCAGCAGAACCCTTTCTCTTGTCATGTAATATGTTTTCAAACTTCTCAATATCAAAATAAACGACATCCTTTTCTACACAATCTTTCTCCTTAACCTCCTCCTCCGTTGTACTTATGGAATTATTATCAAGAACCTGATCCTTGATATATCTTAAATAATCCCCGTCATTGTCGTGATTCCATGTACTAAAAATCGTTTCGTTTCATTTCCACACATTATTTAGAAACCTCTAGGCCTCCTTTACATTGCCATTAGCATTCACCTGAATCTATATTTGAAACCTGGGTATTTTCTCGATTTCTTCACCGCCGCAAGCTGCTTCATATAATCTATTGGCAAATCATCGTTCCACCAGTACTTTGGCTCCACAAAGGCTTAATATCTCTGGTTGCCGCCGCTACTTTCCCTGTAAGGGCTTCTTCTATGGCCTCTATATTAGGCCCCAACTTCGCAAGAAGCTTCCTTTTATTGAGGAATCTGCTAAGCACACAAGACCAGCTTCCGTCGTCAAAAGTTCAAGCTCTTTTCCTTTCCTGGATGTTATGTAGTCAACCCAAGCTTGATTCCTTGCATTGAAATATTCACATACCACTATTTTATCAAATCTATCTAGAAATCTGAGCATTCTCGTTATTTCATCCTTCAATTCCTCAAACGTTGTTGATGGAGGAAAGTATGCAGACACAAATACGAAGTTATTAATTAGATTTGATGTTTTAATCACAATTATGTACGAGTTGGATATGTAAGACAGTCTGGAGAACTTAATATGCCTTCTTAGCCCTATAGCTACCCCCATAGCCATCAGGTCTGAACTTTTGAATAATATTATAGTTAACTAGCTTGTCATTCATCCCTTTATCCTCAGAAAATATTTCAGATAGAATCACAACATCATACAGATGTTTGTTCAAAAAGAATTCAATGTAGTTCTTATATCTTTTAAAAGATTGTATATTAAATTGTATCCGAAGAATTTTGCGTAGGAACAATCTTCTTGGTGGTTGCACTGGAAAAGCCATTCATAAACCCCAAAAGCCGGAAAAATTTCACACAATTCCGACAGAAAAACACGGGGGCGGCTCGGTAATGGTATGGGGCAGTATGAGCCTCGGAGTAAGAAATCTCGTCCTTATTGAAGGGATTATGGATAAGATTTGTTTAAAAATTCATTATTAGAAACCATAACATCTCAAGCATACCAAGACTCAAAATGCTTTACAAGTATAATGGGGAAAATGTAGACATCTCACACGGAAAACTTGGTAAAAATTATGCCGGATTGTGGGATTTACTTGAGTGTATTATTAGCAACAATGAAATGCTAAAAAACGTTATTATGGTGGAATGGACCAAAATTACCTAAGAAGAATATTAAAATTCGACGTAAAGAAAACACAAGCTAGTAAAAGTTTCTATGTGCACGAATAGCTTTTCTTTTGAAACACTTTAGAAAGTCTTAAAATGCAGTATTTTTTGAGTCTTGAAATTTAAAACTTATTTTTGAACATTAACACTTATATTATTGCAGAATTCAACCAACTTATATTATTGCAGAATTCAATTGTGTTCGTATGTCCATCTTTCATTTCATTACTTTGTGTTAAACAGTTTTTCTTTCCATAATTTTACGACATTCAAGTTCAGAAT